GTAATAATAATAATAATAATAATAATAATAATAATAATAATAATAATATTACTTTGTACTTTCTTACTTTGAGCCTGCACTTTTTCACTTTTACTTTAAAGTAAGTACTTTAGGGGTTACTGGAGTGTTTTTTCACACAGGTATCTGCACTTCTGCTGAAGTAAAGAAAGTTTGTACTTTTGTCACCTCTGATGATGACGAGCGAAAAACATGAACAGCACCAAAGAGTCTCCTCTGTTCCTCTCAGCACGGATACAAATGAGTCGAAAGTTGCACTTTCCCATAAATATAATTTGACACCTTATCACCAGCTACATCAGTCATGTGACTTTTCTTCCAGCAATACACCCACCGGGCTTTCACCCTTTGTGCTTGATGCACGCACCAACGGTTCGGTATCATCTGACCCATCACTACTCAAAGCGCTCTTTATACAAACACATTGTTTTCCTACGACCAACCCTTTGATCAGTATATGACAGATGTCGTGCCAAGGTAGGCTGCTTCCCCGGCGTCGGGAGCGCGCGCTGGACAGGTGGCTGTGGAAGTCGTTGCGTTACCGTTAAGTTTGTGGGTTACAACTGAAAACACATTTATTGTGTTCACGTGTTATCGGAAAACATATTTCAGCTGATAATTATCTGCTTCCTCCTGTAACTTTACTGTATAAAGAGCTAAAACCTTCAAAATTTCAGGAGTAGTTAGTCATTATAAGAAGTGTTTGTGAACAGAAACTTAAGAATGAGGGACACTGTTTGCCCGACATCTGGACAGCCCGGCGCTCCCGACGGAGGGGGACCAAATTCTGTCGGGGATACCAACCTTGTCACGACACCTGCCTCTAATTCCTAAGCTGCAGCCACCCCATTATTAGCATGGTGCTACAGGTATAGATGCTCATTCAGATAACACATGTAGCGAGAACAATCAGAAGAAATATGTGGGCTGCTAAACAAACGCCTGCGCTGAAATATCGGAGCTCTCATAAAGAAATATAAAACATTGAGTTACATATCTTAGTATTTATCGAGGTACAATCGTTCGTGGACATTTAGAAAACTAAATCACGTTTCACGACTTACTTTTCGGCAGTCCTTGTCAGCTAATGCACTCAGTAAAACCACCATGTTTTCAGTTAGTTCCGCCATCAGCACTACTGATCACCTGATGTCAGTCACGTGACTTACATGGTTGCGTTCAGAACGCTTCAAGAAAAATAAACCCAAATATCGCAATCGCCTCCAAAGAGTTCAAGCAAATAGTTAATAGACAGAAAATCCAGGAGAAATGTTTTATGCGGATATATATCACGAGTAAAACTGTCACACTGATGACAGCCTAATAATGTAGTGTAGCCGCGACTGCTGAAAATGTGGAAACATTTTCAGGGGATTGCTGCAAATGTGAATTCCCACAGTACTTCCGTCAGATCATTTGGATGAAAAAAAGCACACCCCATGGTTCATAGATTAAAGATGGTTCGCAGACTATTTCAGTGAAAGCTACTAACATGCTCCTGCTGAAGACAACATGACATTTGTGCCTTTGCACTGGGAATTCGGTTGGACGACATTCCGCTGTAGAGCGAAAGGTTTCGTGGCTGAGCGACAATTTCTCACATCCTGCTTTGTTTCTCGGTCCTGTCGACGATGTGACCGAATCTACAGGCTGCATTTACTGCTGGTAGTAACTTAAAATTGGGCGGCGTGAGGAAATAAACAGCAGGTACGTGTTTTCTGTCGATAACTGCTGGAGAAAAATGTCTGTTTTTCAGATAGAGGCGTGAACGCACTCGGGGACTTTGTGCATTCATTACAGTAGCAACAATATAAGCAACGAACAACTGTAGGCCTCTAAGTTGCTGGACGGAGACACTTTCTTTTGTAGTTGGCCGAGTATCGATACCTCTGTGTAATCGCTTAACACAGCTTGAGTGTACAGCTGATTGTGGTAGCGTCCACTTAAAGCTGTTTCCACAACTTCGAGTCGTTTAAAGTCTTTACAGTCTCTTTCACTTCTAAGCAGAGGCGGAGGCAGACATTTGATGCACCCGGGGCTTAGCCTTAAATGGTAGTATGCATGTGTGATGGGATTGGGGGGGGATTAATGAAAAGAAAGAAAGATTAATTGGCTCTGTTTTGAGTTTTGTTCAAAAAAGAATGACTTCATATAGGGAAAAATATATATCACATGTGCAGGACACCTTAAACTATTTTTTAATTAAGCAGCAAGGCAGAACAAAGTCGGGGCTGCATCAAGACACGAGGACTCAACCCCAATTCAACCAGACCCAGAACTGATCCAGAATTAAAACAGGACTACAACAGTTCAAAATCAGGACTACTGAGGACTTAACCAAGACAGAACCAGAATCAGAACTAGATGATAGCAGCACTAAAAATCATCATAGACCTGCACTACACTTATTGTTTAATTCTACCAAAGTCCACTATTTAGATTCAGAAACGTTTATATAATTATTGAGCCTTGTTGTGCAAACAAGCTGCATAACTTAATAAATATAGAATCTGAAAACTAACAAACCTAAAAAGAAACACTAGGTACGAGATACATGAGTACCTATGATAAGGTGATACTTTTGGTAAATGACCATTTGACTAACATGTCTGTCTCACCTGCTCTTGTTCCCTCTCTGTTCCTCTCTCTCTCTTTGTGCTGACAATCATCAAATATACAGTTGAAACCAGATATAAACCACATCAAAACAAAAACACTTTTTTAATTGTAACATCAAATCAGACTAAATGTTTATTTTTTTAG